AGCGGCGGACAGTCATCGCCTCGCGCAGGTATCGCCTCGCGCAGGCAAAGTCATCGCCTCGCGCCCATCGACTCGGGGCGGGGACGCAGTTCGCGCATTGATGGCTCGACGGAGAGAGGAGTGCGCTTCGAGCGCTTGGGAGGGCCGGCGGATACCTGCAAGAGCCCTTCGACTTCTTGACGCTCTTCCTCGCTTGCGCGCTCGACTTCTTGACGGTCATTCTCGCTCACGCGCTCGACTTCTTGGCGGTCATTCTCGCTTGCGCGCTCGACTTCTTGACGCTCTTCCTCGCTTGCGCGCTCGACTTCTTGACGCTCATTCTCGCTTGCGCGCTCATTGATCAAGTCGTTTGGTGTCGCGGATGATCCTGGTTGCGATGGCAGCATGCGCACGGCTTGCAGCATGGTCGCTGCAAACGATTCGCGATCACGTCGACGTTCAAGGGCTTCGCGAGCAATGTCGTCTTCGCGACGCTCCTCGTCGGCCTTGCGGTAATCTGCTTGAGCCTGGATGGTCTCGCGCATGAGCTGGATCATTTCAGAGACGTGCGCGCGTTCTTCTAGAGTGTCGTCTCCTGTCGTGCGAGCAGCTGTAGACGAAGAACGAGAGAGGCGGTTGCCAGATGTCGACGGCAGCTGAGGAGCAATGGCTCGTGGAATTGATGCCTGAGGAACGTGCTCCTGATCAGACTCGAGTGTGTCGTCGTGCGCGTGATCGGACTCGAGAGCGTCGTCGTGCGCGTGATCGGACTCGAGAGCGTCGTCGTCGTCGTGCTCCTGGTCGTCAATCCAACCGTTGTAGTCATCATGATCGCCAAAGTTTGTCGCAGCTGCACGAGCCGGCGTAGCAGAGGTCGCTCGACTCGACGCACCTGATGCACACTCCGCACCTGACGCACTCTCTGCACTCTCCAACTCGGAAGCTGCACCAGCCGATCCGCCAACGGCACTCAACACCGCAGAACTCGGGTTTGGACGACTCGCGACAGGTGTGACGGCCGCGTCGGCAGTGCGAAAAGTCGCCAGAGTGAGCCCGTGCTCACCTCGCCTCTTTTCCCTGATCAGGTCGAGCATGCCGGGTAGCCAAGCTTGTGTTCTGGCCTTGTCAAAGATGATGCGCAGATCACGTTCCAGGATGAGCGTCAGAAGCTTGTTTTTGGCTGCAATCGCAGCGTCGGCCTTTTCACGGAGGCCGGCAACCGAGTACATTCTGCCTGATATCGAAAGGTTTTCATCCACCCTCATTGCGATGCCCTTCATGACATCGATGTGCTTGTTCATCACTGCAAGGGCCTCATTGGGACGCATGTTGCGATCCAATTCACCCCAGCAGAGCCCATAGAGAGCAGCACCCCAGCGAGATGCGTCGCCGCGAGCTAGCCCGTGGCGACCCTTGTGGACAAAGTAGACCGCCCGTTGAGGTTTTGCGAGCAGCCACTTCATGATCAGGCTGTTTTGCTTCTCGGTCCACTCCCGAGGAGAAAGGTTGGTGTCCGAGTCATCGGCGCGAACACTCTTATGGCGCTGGCGACGGTGACTCTTGCTGCGGTGCTTGCTTTTGCGGCGGTCTTGTTGGTCATCTCGACCCTTGCCCGTACCATTCTCACGGGATGATGTGGCATTGCGTTGGTCCTCATCTGAAGAGGCAGACGCATCAGACGACACGTCGGTGTAGTGGTTGTTGGACCCAGAGCAGGAGTCAGAAGGAGTGCACTGCCTCTTTGCGGGTGATGCTGGCATTGTGAGAACAGTGGTGGGAAAATATAGAGCAGATAGAAGGGGTCGTGGCTGAGACGACTGCAAGAGCGGGGTGACGGAAGAGATTGGAGATCGTGCGTGCGCACCTGTTCCGATGACCAAGGGTCAGACTTCATCAGTCCGATGACCAAGGGTCAGACTTCATCAGATCCTTTTTGATCGTTGCGCAAGAGTCAGACTTCATCAGCGACTTGCATTTTGATCGTTGCGCAAGGGTCAGACTTCATCAGCGACTTGCCTGTTCTGATCGTCGCCCAGACTCGAGGCAGATTGGATTTGATGAGGGCTTCGTTGATGATGAACTTTTGACTTGATTGTGCTTACCGCGCGTCGCGCGTCGCGCATCACAAGAGCAGGAACAACATTGGAACAACATGATGGAAGCAATCTCGATTGCCAAACGTCACGAGGAACGTGATGATGCATCGTCATGTCTCATCAGGGACCGTGACGATGCATCGTCATGTCGTGCAAAAGTCCAGATCGGACACAAATCTTGATCGCCAAATAGCACGAGGGACGTGATGATGCATCGTCATGGTTCTGTTTAGCAGCACGATGACGACGTGCCTTGAGTGCGCCGTCGTCGCGCATTCGGTGTCATCGCATTGACAAGTGGTGTAGGGTATGTACAAATGAGAGGATTGTGACGGGCGTGAGGCGAGGCGAGAGCGAGTGAAATCCAAAAACGAGAAGCGAAAAGGAACGACCGAGAGTAAACCTGACCCTTGGGAGTTTTGGTCAGGGCAAGTCAAGTGTGCGCGCGTGATTAGCACCCGCTGGGAGCGTGCTGCTTCGTCAAGCGGTAGAAGTTGCGAGCACACAATGGCAGCTCGCTGCTTCATCACGCAAGCGTCAAGCTCGCAGGCGCTATTTCATCCCTATACGTACCAAGCCTGGTGGGCAGCCAGAGATCTACGAGTCTCGGTGACGCATGATGATTGGAAAGCACACAATCCACATTCGCAGAAAAGAACGTTTTAAGCCTTTTCGAGTGAAGGTGCGCCGTGCGCTAGGGCGCCTTGCCGCTGAGCAGTGCGGCAAGATGCTCGTGTGCCTCCATAGCCTCGCGATCTTGCAGCTCTGCCGGTATGCTCACCATCCCGCCGAACCTAAAGTCTGGAATGGCCCTGTCCACAGTCTTGACCGGGGTGATAAATGAAACACCTCGCGCGCCACGGAAATGCTCCAGTGTGAGGTCAAGCTCGGCCAGAGCAGAAGGTCCAGCGACCGGCGGTTCGGTCTCCAGTTGCGCAAGAACATCTTTATGAAATGCCGACCGAGTCTCTTCTTGCTGCGTCTCTCGCAGCGCCGGCGTTTTCATCAACGGACAAGAGTAGTACGTCGTCTCCTGGCACTTGCGATGGATCTGCACCCCCTTGTCCCACGACGGGTGCTCTTTGATCGAGGACGATTTGAAGAGCGGATCAAGGGTCTTCCTGTCCTTGCTAGCAGTCTGCAGGCACGTTGCGAGAGAGATGACCACTGCTCCATCGCACACGTGCACTGCAGGCGGGAGGTGGTGGTGCAACTTGCGAAGCAGCGGATCCAAGATGTGAGTCTTCAGAACGTAAAGTTGCTGAAATGCGCAGGCACAATCGCTCAGAGACGAGTAATTGACGGCCTCGTCATCTGGCATGCGAGGCAAAGTGCCAGAAAAAAAGTCTGACGCTACCCCTTGGCTGCAGCCTTGTGCCAACAAGGAACGAATGCGAACGGAAGATGCTCCCAAGACGGGCAAGATGGTCCACGTGCCGGCATTGACCACCAAGTCCATCAAGGCGGTCGCTTCTCTTGTCGGCTTCTGGTGCATTATTTCGTGGAGCTTGTGCCTGGCGCAGAATAGCCCTCCAGCAACTCGCAACAGGATGTTGAGCGTGTTGGAAGCCCCGCTTTCATCCATCTTGACCAAGCCAAAGGCCTTTCCGAGGTGTGCCTTGGCGCTCTGAGGGGTGATCGTGGCAGCGGCAGCAGGCGGTGCAGCGCAGTCGTTCGACTTGAGGGCTTTTAACCAAACATCCACCACCGCCTGAAATGCGCGATCCAGCGATGGTGTTGGCACTTGGTCATTGGAAGAATACCCTGCCAGCGACAGCAAGACATCGACCATGGTCCACGCAAATACATCGCCGTGCTTGCGCTTCTCCAGGTAGCGTGCCACTCTCGCTTCAAAGTGCTTCTGCGCTGCAGACGGAGGACTCGAGGAGGAGCGCACTAGGGGCTTTGGCAATGTCAGCGCAGCAAGGGTTGCTTTCTTGCGAAGATCGGAGCGATGCCTGTTGACCAGCGTTTGCCCAAGCTTCTTGAGCTCTTTTTTGCGCGTCTGTTTCGCTTCAGCCGCTCGCCTCTGCTCTTCCAGCTTCTTCAGCTTTTCCAGCTTCTTTCTTGCCCGGCGCTTTTTCTCCGTATCAGCCTTGCGCTTCTTACGAAGATGCTGTTTGCCCTGCTTAACGACTGCGGCTGCCTCGTCCTCTGCTGCTAGCGTCCCTTTGAGAGCAGCAGTCGCCCGTCGCAATGCTCTTGCTGCTTTTTTGGCCGCCAGCGTCTCCGCTTCTGTTTGCTTTGGGTCTGCATCCCGATGAACGTCTTGCGTGGTGTTCTGACCTTCTTCCTCCTCACCTTCTTCCTCCTCCTCATCTTCCTCCTCCTCCTCCTCATCTTCCTCCTCCGCCTGCTCCTCCGCCTCCTCATCTTCATTCTCGGCCATCTCCTCATCTTCAGCATCATTTTGTCTCACTTCTTGATCTTTGTCGGCCATTTCTTGATCTTCAGGGTCTTCCCCGCCCATGTCTTCATCTTCGTCGGCCATCTCCTCATCTTCAGCGTCTTCCTCGGCCATCTCCTCATCTTCAGGGTCTTCCCCACCCATGTCTTCATCGCAATTTTGAAAGTGAAGCTTGACAATCAGCCGTCCTTGACGTGCGGTGTGGCACGGCTCGACAAAGCTGAACGCGGCAACCTCAGCAAGCAGATCGGCTGCGGAGAGTCGAATTCCGTTGCTCAAGGGGGTGCCGTTCAAGGCAGCTGCCCATGCTTTTGCCTCGTCTAGTTTGAGTTTGTTGATCATGCGCGAGGCGAGGGGAAAGCGCTGCTGGAGCTCATAGAAGAGAGCATCGCGAGTCCGTCCTCTAAATTCCTTGTAGAGGTGACCGATGCTGCGTTCTCGATCACACTCCCAAATGACGCTCTTGTGCTCGTCGACGTACTGACAAGTCCAGGCGGGCATTATGTCGGTGATACGTGCTTGGATTTCAATTACTCAGGTGTGCTGGCTGCCCCGATGTATCTCCAGAGCGGTGGCAAATGTCTGCAATAACGGCAACAAATGGAATCGCACGTATGGACGGCGGTGATCGAGCTGTACTTGGCTGCATCAACGGCATAGGTGCACCCGTGCACGCATCAGTATACGCACCAAACAGCAGAGGCGTGCGAACTTCTATGCACTCGTGACTGGCGGCGCAATAAAGCTTGCATTCACGATTGTCCCACGCACATGCTGCCTGGCGCCCATGCACGCACCTACTGCTGCTGTTTTTTTGGCCCGCGCAGGCGCAATAAGCATCAGCATGCATGCAGACGGCCCGGCCCATGCAGCGATGTGCGCGTACCCCGGGCCGCTATTCTATCGGCCGGTAGATGCGGCAGGTAGAGTGCCCGCAGCATGCGTGTGCGAGATTTGACTAGACGCCATGCATGCTGCTTGCTGCATGCATGGCGTCCGCTCGCAGTAGCCTCACCCAAATCTCACAGATTGCCAACGCTGCTCGCACGCACTTACGACTACTACTACCACCACTGCCGTAAGCATACTCTCGTATCCTCTTGCTCACTCAACACCGCATTCGCACATCCACAACCTCTTGCAAGCTACACAGGTGAGTGGGCAAGGTCGGCACCTCTGGCGCGCGCGTTTGGCACGGGTGGCCTCTCTTGTCGGGCGCCCGCGCGCGCGCGCGCGAAAACCAAAAAAGGGCACGAAAGTGGCACGTTTTTCGAAAATCGACACCGCTCTTATTCCTCGGCCACATCATGTATTGACCTCGTTCTTTCTCACACGCCATCACACAGAAGATTACACCAAGTGTACCAACTCACAACCTCATCGAGCTTCTCGTTGCGGAGCACGGCAACCTCGAAAATAGTGTACGACGCGCAACTAATATGGCAGCGTGGGCCAAATTGAACGCGCGCGCGCGCGCCGACGTGGGCCAAGCGGATGTGTTGGAGCTGCAAAGCTGGTGCTCGCAAGCGCTATTGCAGCCGGTGCATGGCCAAGGTGCTCGCTTGTTCAGGATCTACGATCACGGTGAGTACAATGCCCCGTGCATTTGGGTGGTATGTCCATCATCCCTCACTCGGTATCGCGGCTACGTCGGGCTTGTATGTTGTGCTGCTGGCTCCTTTATCGGGCCTCGTCTTCGGGCGGGGAGCTCCCTGAGAGTGCGGGTTCGCATTCGGAGAACTGTCAGTGTGGCGGACTTGTCCCGGCATGCTAGTTGAAAAAGAGCACATCATCGACATCTAGTCGGTCCGTCTGGTCGCATGCTGACACCCATATCTATTTTGTGCCAGCGGATCGTCTCGGCGGCAGACTCTTGGTCAAGCACTTGTCGAAAGCGATGCCGGAGGGTAGCCTGCTCAAGGAGCTGGAGAAGCCGGCCGTCATTGCTCGCATGGCGCGACGGTATGAAGAGCTGCGCAGCAAGCCGTGGGTGTTGAGGGAGGAGACCGACACGCATCGGCACTTTGAGTACGCCACCAATCGGCTCACAGTGTGCCGCACGCTAGACTTGGACGATCACGATCGAATGTCGTATGGTGACGGAAACATGGTGGGTGCGGCGTGTGCGTGCGTGCGTGCGTGCGTGCGTGCGGGGATGCGGGGATGCGTGCGTGCGTGCGGGGATGCGCTCGTGGATGCTTGCTGACGCTGCGCTCACTCCTTGCTTGCACAGTTCGACATTCGTCACGAGGCAGAAGCAGAATGGCACCTGCTCCTAGACACCAAGGGACGCCACTTTGCCACCGTCGCTTGGGCGCCGATCAATGTGTCGAGTGTAAAGGTTCCTTCCAACTGCGCTGTTGACGCTGATGACGCTGATGACGATCAGCCTGTCGACTTGGCACACGGATCCGTGGGCTCCGAGCCCTCCGATGCCGAGCAGGCTTTGGGCGCATCCCCACGCCCCAGCAAGAAGGCGAGAACCGCGCCTTCGACGTCCAGCAAAAAGGCGGCACCCTCGCCACGCTTTCATATGCGACCTTTTCGCATATCGGACGATGCGCGAGAAAAGCAAGTGGAGTTGATCCGACGCTGCATCGAGTTCTTGCAACTGCAAGACGCTTCACAGCATCGCAAGCTGGCGATCGGCAATCTGAGGCTGTGGACCAGAGTGCTGATGTGTCCCAGTCACACGATCGAGAGGTACCGCGCTCTCCACGTTGGCACCATCCACTTTCGCTTGCGCTTCCAGTCGATGGCTAAATTCGCCGAGCCAAACTTCAACCGCTCGTTTTGCGACAATCTGCCATTGACCGCGCCTCTACTTTTTGGGTCCGACATGACCCTCATGCTCAAGCGCATGCGCGAGGTCTTTGCGTTTGGCCACGGCAAGGTGTACGAGCGGTACCAAGCCGTGCGGCTGCATCCCGACTTTCAGCGCTTGCATCTGCCCATCTTTCAAAGGCACGACTGGGCGAAATCGCGAGGCGTGCAGCAGCAGATCAAGGAGCGAGGTGTGGTTCTTGCTTGCCCTTGGGCGTCCATGGCCATCAATGCGCCCTCGCAAGAGACGCACATGAGGCCTCATGTCGACAAGCGGGATGCACGGTGGGGCATGTGCACAGTCGTGAGCGGAGGTCACTACACTGGAGGAGCGCTTGTCCTGCACGCAGCAGGTGTTCGCATCTGGATAAGACCGACGCTCGACGTAGTGACCTTTCCCTCAGCGACCTTGCTTCACTCGAATACGGGGGTCAAAGGATATCGCATGTCATTTATCGGATTCAGTGGCCAGGATGTGCTCAAAAAGTACTCTACGGTTCCTGTATTGTGTGATTACCCCGTCTGGCCGGATACCTTTTGGAAGACGGACTCGCGCAGGTGATGCCGCGACCGTCATTCGACTTCCTCACGCTTGTCAAAACGAAGAGATCCAGAGTACGATGAGATCGATCCGACGTGTCAAACGCATGGCATTTATCATCGACGCGCTACGGCTCCCCAAAGCAATAGCAGGGCAGAAGGGGTGAATCGCACTCTCTTCGAAGGGCCGACGACAATGCTGCTCGATGCAGCCCTGCGCGGAGAGCATCCTCACATTTGTCATCGCAAAAGAACAGTTTTCTTCACAAAGGTGTTGACGCAGTGCCGGGCGTCTTGTACTATGACGGCAATGTGCCACCGATGCAACCCCTTCAAGCATTTGGTTGTTGCGCCTGGGCGTACATATCTCGTGAGCATCGGATCAAACTGCAACCTTTAGGGCAACCACTAACCTTCATAGGGTGTGGATCGCGCAGGACACCGTCTATAGGACAATCATCGCTTTGTACTGTCTTGTGTAATGACACGATGTTTGACAAATCCACGTTCCCTCATCGTGACCTTGCGCCACCGCATAGCGAAATCCAGCGTCGTAGTCGCAAAGCGTCGCAGTCGTGATGAGCGTCGCAGTCGTAAGGAGCGTCGCAGTGGTAAGGAGCGTCGCAGTCGTGATGAGCGTCGCAATGGTAATGAAATCAACATTTCGGTCATGACCATCGTGATCGACATCTCGGTCGTGAGCATCGTGATCTCGGTCGTCATGAGCATCGTGATCTCGGTCGTCATGAGCATCGTGATCGACATCTCGGTCGTGGTATTCGTCGCAGTCGTCATGAGCGTCGCAACCGTGATGAGCGTCGCAGTCGTAATGTGCGTTGCAGTCGTAAGGAGCGTCGCAGTCGTAAAGTGTTGTCAATCGTACTCGACGTATCGGTCGTGATGACCATCGTGATGCATCGTGATCAAGATCTCGGTTGTAAAGTAAGGAGCGTCGCAGTCGTGATAAGCGTCGCAGTCGTGATCAAGATCCCGGTCGTCATGAGCATCGTGATCAAGATCTCGGTCGTCATGAGCATCGTGATCCGGATCGCATCGTGATCGACATCTCGATCGTCATGGCCATCGTGGTGGATATCGCATCGTGATCGTGATCAAGATCTCGGTCGTAAAGCGTCGCAATCGTGATCGACGTCTCGGTCGTAAAGCGTCGCAGTCGTACAGAGCATCGCAGTCGTGATGAGCGTCGCAGTCGTAAAGAGCATCGTAAGGCGCGTTTGAGCATCGTAAGAGCATCTCGATCATCGTAAGGCGCGTTAGAGCATCGCGCCGCGTCGCACTGGTCAATCCCCGCGACGATGCCAGGCCAGCCATTCTTCTCGCGCCACCTTTGCTCTCATGACCGACGGTATAGTCTGTGCCAGAGACTCTGCGTGGGCAGTCACAAAAGCGGCCAAGGGGTTCTCCAAGAAGGAATCCAGCGAGAAGCCCTGCACACCCTCTGCCAGCATAAAGTGGTCGCCGATCAGGACAAGGCAAATGACCCTTTTGCTGATCGAAGCCCGCACCGTGAGTGGCCAGGAGAGGTAGGCCGTCCTCTCCATGACGGTGCGAGGCTGAGCTTCGTTGACCATGGTGATCTTGATCGAGGAGCTGTTCGATGCTGCAGAGGGGGCAGCACGGGTGGCGGGAGGCGGAGGCGGAGGAAAGGCGACAGGAGGCAAGATCGTCAGGACAAGGCTATCGAAGGCAGCAGCCACAAGCAGAGCGTGGCTGTGCGCCTCGAACCAGCCCCACTGATCGTTGTTGCTCTTGTCGTGCTTCTTCTGCCACAGCAACTGGCGAGTGTCGTCCGAACGGTCGTCGAGCAAGGAGGCGTACATGTTCTGCCAGAGCTTGGGCAGCTCCAGCACAACTTGGCGACAGCGTTGTCGAACCAGCATGTACGAATCCTCCTGACCAAAGACTGCCCTGGCGACGCCTCGGAAGCCACAGTGACCGTCTGCTCTAGGGTTGTAGAGCTTGCTCGGTAGACCCAAGCCCAGCAAAAAGGTAGCGACCTCCTCTCCGGGCGTGGTGATGCTGCCTTCCCGAGGCAAGTCCACTGGCTGTACCCTGGGTAGCTGACGGCCAGTGTAGTCTTCCAGTTGCTGCGCCGAAACCTCCATCGCATGAGCTAGCGACGCCTTGCTGATTGCTGCTGCTGCTGCTGCTGCTGCTGCTGCTGCTGGTGGTGGTGCTGCGCCTCCTCTGGGCAAGGCATCCGTGTGCACAAAGGCGACGGACCTGTGCTGCTGGTGAGCGACAACACTGAACCAGACCTTTGCACCACTGCCATGCACGCGGACGTGAGCAAGGCAAGGCCATTGCACTTCCAGGCTAGGATGAGCATGGCCATCTGGCGTGATCTCCAGAGTGGCCAAGCGAGGCAAGTCTGCCGTGCCCGTGCGCTCATCCTTGGCGTCCATGATGGCCTCCAGCGACCCGTGCTTAGGCACTGGCAAGCGACCAGCAGGCCATTCCCAATGGAATCTGGCTCGACGGACGGTGCTAGACCTACCAGTCATCTCCCGCACTTCGGACTGCTTGAGGCCAGCTCGAAAGCCAGCGTAGCAAATGGCAGCCCAGTGGGCAATCCGAAGCGAGGAGCAGACGATGGTGCCGGCAACTGCACCCTGACCCGTTCGACATGCCCACTTTTCTGCCTCCTCGCAATCAGGCAAGATGCCCGGCTGGACGCTCTCCAGAGGGGCCTGGGTGGTGCTGGGGGGCTGTGTCGAGAGGTGCGTCATCGTCGAGCTGGGCAGCGGCTGCGTCGAGACGAGCGTGGAGCTGGGCGGCGGCATCGATGGCGGTGGCATCGTCGAGGGGGACCGTTGGCTGGATCCGGGTGCCACAGATGGGCTTGCGGGGGCGCGCCGCTCCGGTGTCCTGTGCTGGTCCTCCATCGCTTTCGGAAGGATTCGCTGGAGGAGATGCCGGCGGCGTGAGCGACCAGGCCAGGGGCAAGAGACGCGCCAAGAACGGCAACTCACAGAAGTTCTGCGCGCTCCACCACCGTCGCCTCCCTGCAGGCGCACCATCTCATCTTCATAAAAAGTTCTTTTGGTGCCGTCGCTGGTTGTTGCAACGACACGAGCACTGGCGTGTCCAGCCCTGATGGACACAACTGGCGCAATTGCGCCGGTCTGTATACGTACGCGTAAGCCTCTGCATGCCGCACAGAGAATCAAGATGCCAATGCTCACCAAAGTCATGCAGAGATCCCCGACCTTGAGATCCTGCTCTCTTTTTACCTGCCAGTCTTCACCCTGCTTGACCACGTACAGCCGATCGGGGGCAGCAGCACTGTCCATGGCGAGAGATGTTGCGCTGCGAAGGGTGGGATGTTGCGCTGCGAAGGGTGGGGTGTTGCGCTGCGAGGGTGGGATGGTGAGAGGCGGAGAGCGGGGCGAGGCGAGGCGGAGAGCGGGTCGGATATTGGAGAGGTTATCGGGTTGAAATTCTCAATGGTACGTGTGCAACAACGTGTGAGCGAGTTGACGGATAGCGAGGTCGAAGAGGAGAAAATCTCTCATTCACGATTGCTTGCACTCGCCCAATCCTGGGGCATATCTGTTGATGTCCCGCTATTTGTACGCTCAAGGTGTCAAGCCATACATCTGCTGCCAGGAGTGCAGACGTTTGCAATTCAGCGTGCGTGCGAGGAAAACGCAAGCCGCCTCGATCGACGGGGTCCTCTCTTCCCGTGCGCTCTCTCTCGACGCACTCGCTACAGTCATCTCTTCCCGTGCGCTCTCCTTACTCGCTACTGTCAGCGTCTCTTCCCGTGCGCTCTCCTTACTCGCTACTATCAGCGTCTCGTCTCGTGCGCTTCACAGCCCACTCCATGAGTACTGGCCGCTGTCAGCCCCTCATCCTCTCGTATCTCTCAAACATACTCGCTGCTGTCATCCTGTGCGCTTTCCCTCATTCGAGCATCTTACGTGCTGTCGGCCTCTCATCCCTCGCACTTGACATCCGCGGTCGACCTCTCATCCCTCGCGCTTCACAGCCGCGGTCGGCCTCTCATCCTTTCCTGCTCTTTTGTCCACTCATGGATCGATGACCCATCTCATAGTCAGACACGGCGTGCAGCATTGCGATTTGTGTATCAGTGATTGCAGTGGTGAAGTCGACGTGAGTGCAGCATATGGTGGTGAGCATGCACGCCCGCACAAGAATTCGACCGTGTTCGCGCATACTCTGCGCGAGCGGCATCATGTGATGCGCGCGCGCGCGCCTTTATGCATAGGCGCACAAATTGACGTGGGCCGGGTCAACGCGCCAGGCAGCAAACAAAGAAGGATCGATCGTGATCGACTCCCACGCACTTCGTCTTTGGCGATCTTTATTGCGGACCAGCTGCTCTGATCTGATCTGATCTGGTCGTCTCGACGACAGCTGCTGCCGATGCATGCTGCTAGCCCGACTCGATGATGGTGACCCGGCGCCAGACGAACACATATCTCACACAACTGCGGCGCACTACTAGTTGTTTGTTCAGGCAGGCCGCGGACAAGAATTCTCGCGCCTGCTGCTGCTTGCTGGCTCTTCCGAGCGCGACTCGATCGTGCCGTCTGCGCTGCCAGCCCGCAGATGCTGATGGGTCTGCTGCTTTCGATCGAGCGCATGCGGTCTCACTCACATCACACCAATCACGAATGCAATCGTGACCCACATATCACACCCACGCATTCGCGCTCGCAAGCTTGACGTCCGTCGCACGAGTCAGAGCAAAAAGGACTGCTTCACACCCGGCGCGACGATACAGCATCAAGCCTGCGCGAGCATCACATCCGGCGCGACGATGATACATCAGCAAGCGTACAGCATCACCCTGCAGCTCGCGCCCAACCTACGTGTCTCGAAAGCTTCTTCTTGGAATCGTGCGTGCGCAACACCGTCGCTTTAGATCACATATGTCGACGCAAGCATGTCTCAAAGGAGAGAAGAATTCTGCACTTCTCGATCGACGTGGGCGCTCGCAGCAAGAGTCATGCCGCTGTTTGCTGAGAGATCCCCCCCCAAAGAACAAAGGGTTTGCAGCCCGGTACTGCATCAGAGCAGAGTCATTGCCATCTAACTCGTTCGCTCGCCTCAGCCATGTCGCTGCTGAAGGACGGCGCTCGCCCACATCACCGCGTCGACTCACACAACTACTGGCAATCTTTGAAAGGACGCTCCTCTACACGCCCCTCTGCACGCTTCTCGGCACGCGATCTATGCTACCGTCAATCGTCGACCGTCGAACGCCCTTCGCATCTTCTTTGTCACGTCGATTGCCATCGCAAAAATCGCCCCGCTAGAAGGCGTTGCGACAAGCATTAAGCGCTCCAAGCATCAAGCGCTCTAAGCACCTCCCGCTACAAGCCGTTGCGACAAGCATTCTAGTCGCTCCAAGCATCAAGCGCTCCTAGCACCTCCCGCTACAAGCCGTTGCGACAAGCATTCTAGCCGCTCCAAGCACTTCTCGCTACGAGCACCACCCGTACTTCCCACCTCACCACGCCCGCTCTACGCTCCACGCCCGCTCTACGCACCACCCGTCCTCCTCACCTCACCACGCTCGCCCACCCGCTCCACGCCCGCTCTACGCACCACGCGAATTCCCCACCACACCACACCCACACTCCCGCTCCACGCACCCTCACGATGTACCAGCCAAGCTCCTCGGACGCTGGTGGCAAAGACCCCGAGTATCGCCAGCGCGATTCCACCCCCAGCATCAACACCACCGACGTCGGTCCACGCGACCATGCAGCCCAGATGCGACGAGTGCGCGGGCCCACGCCAGCACCAACGACGCAAGTGTCCGGGACTTGGGTGCCAACTTCGGACCCCATCTCCGACGGCCAAGGGTACATGCGCGACTCTGGCAAGACAGAGTCGGAAGTAAGCAGTGGTCGCGAAGACTCTGAGCCAGGCACGGCCAGTATCGTCGCCACGGGAACAGGGAGAAGAGGCCGAGCAAGGGAAGAGTCGAGCGACAAGGAAAGAGGGTACGCTCAGTCAAAGCGCCGTCTTGACAGCTCGAGCCCCAGTCTGGCCAGTAGAGTGCCTTGGGGAAAAGAACCTCTTTTTCTGGGTGATCGATCTTTCGACAAAGACGACTCGGAGGAGGAAGAGTTGTCTCTGCGACCGGATGGAGAGTCGAGCGACAGGCACACGGTCGACCGGTCCAGCACGCTCCCCGTCAGCACGCTCCCCATCAGCACGGTCCCCGTCAGCACGCTCCCGGCCAGCACGCTCCCGGCCAGCACGCTCCCACTCCCCACCGACTACTCGCAGCAAGGACCTGAAGATGTCGACATGGCCGAAATCATTGAGAAATGTTTCGGCTCTGGTCACAACATCATCTTTGGAGTTTCCAAAGCTCGAGGTGCTGCTGTGAGTACCGTGGCAGTCAGAGCAATGCTGACACGCGCGCGCGCGCTGCTGACACGCAACACATCTCCTTGCAGGCTCGCTTCCAGGCTTGCATGCAGGTGATGGGTGTGGTGGACCCGCTGCGCATGCTCAACACGGTGCGCAATGTGGTCACCGGCATTGTTGATGATGCCGAGACTCTTGCGCCTGAGGATCGTCTCCGTGCAGTGCTAGGCACAGCGGTGGACCTTCCTCCCGAGCACGCTTATAGGGCAGTATACCTTCGGCTGCTCGGTGAGTACTCTTTAGAGCAGCACCTTGCCTTCTGCCAAGGTCACAGGGAGGAAACGGGCTACGAAAGTGCAAAGAGGCGATTCCAAATCGCCTTGCAAGACTTTCATCAATTTGGACCATCAGCTCGTCGACTCCTTGGGTACTTTGGACAGACCATGGGTGCTGCGATGGACCGTGCTCAGGCAGACTACGACAGGGTGAGTCTGCGGCGCCGGTGCTCAATGGACGTGCTGTAGCTGGGACGTGCTGTAGCTGACACCACTCTACACCACAGGCAAAGGATCCAGACCGCCCTGCCTCCTATCTCGCCCACCTCTTGGCCCGGCTGAAGATTGAGGACGTGCAAGTCTTGCCTCTGTGCTCTCTGCCAAAATGGTGTGGTGCCAAGGAGCTCCACACCATCGAGCACATGTTCATCATGGCTTGCGGAGGCGTCATGCGGCTGGCCAACACCTCGCCCGGCTCAGCTGCACCCAATGTCGAGCCTGCTCGACGGCCAGACTTTATGCAGATTGACCCCTCGTTGCTGGAAGAGCTCAAGCTGGCCTCTTGGCCAATGACGTCCGGCCTCGAGGTGGATCAGATGGGCGAAGGTGGCCTCTTATTTACGATTACGAGAACGCGACGAACCCTTGACGACGAGTTACGAATGCGCAACGATGCCGAGCTCTGGCTCTCAACCCTTGGTGCGGCGGGCAGAAACTTGGAGCTGGACTTCAAGTCGATGCAATTGGCCAACATTGACGACCTTCGCCAATGGCTTCGACCAAAGAGCGTGCCACATCGCACCGCGCTCTTCATCCCTAGCGGTGAAGATTACGATTCTTTTCACGACAAGGCTCTGCGTGCCGGGTGCACGTTCTCCATCCACCCCGCGTTCCAGCACCTCGGTCGACGCATCTGTGCTGCCTCTCCCGTTGATGACATGACGCACCCCTTTAACGCCGTCCCTGACATTGTCACGATTTCTGGCCTCCTCGACTGGCCGGTTCCAGTCATCACCGCTCTTTCTCTGTCTGTCCCGATCGGGCATGTTGCAACGCGACAGGAACATCAGGAAGTCATTGCCAGGATGTTTGCTGTCGCCGCGCACATGATCCTCTCCACCACTCCTTTGGATCTCGACAACCCTCGCCTCGCACTGACGTCACGACTCCACGCTGTCCTTGATGGACCAGACGCTACGACTATCAACGGCAGGTCATATTTATTCTACAAAGACGAGAATATGCTATTTAATGCCAGCCAAGATGTTGCCGTCACGTATCAACCCCCGTCCGAGGAAGCTCCCTCGCTCCTCTTAAAGGGTCGTGGCGGCCAACACTTTTCCTTTCCCTTAAAGAGCGAGCTTGCTGGCGAGCTCATCACTGGCCATGTACAATTTCAAGTCTGCATTCGACCGCGAGGCGTATTTATGCCTGGCACGGCACAAGTCCACGAGCTGGACTCTCTCTTCATCGTCGCATTCCGCGAAACCGATCCCCGCCTTGGCAATCCAAATGCTGCGCAGGAAATTGGATCCATCGCCTTTATCAACCTGCCGCAGGACGGTCTGGCCAACCCCCTATTTATGATGTGGAAGCGAGGCAGCCTGGACAACAATGCGGGACTGGCGCTTGCTCACTGGAGCGCCCTCGCAGAGCGCCTATGGACTTTGTCGGACAACGTCGCCCAACTCTTTCCTGGTGTTCTGCGCGTCTACCCGGGGTCACACACCGCGCAAGGGATCAAGGGATTTGGTGCGTCGCTCTGCTGCCCACAAGTGTCGCATGCCGTCATGACCTTGGCAGAGCGCGCAAAGATTGTCAATACGCGCATGCCAGAGCAGGTCTCTCGTTATAACCCCTCTGCGCATGTGCCAAAGATCTTTCAACCATCCTGGCGGCTGCCTGCGGCGCTTGCGAGTCGACTTGGACGAGAGTATCATCACCTTCAGCAGAATACCGACGTCCCTATCCACATTCTCTTGCGGGCTGATGGTATGCTCTCCGTCGTTGGCCAGCTTGCGAGCGGCAAGGCATGCCTGCCAAAGCAACCCTTTGCGCCCGTCAAGACCTCGGTAGACACCCGCAGGCTGATCGATGCCGAGTACGAGGAGCTGTTTTGCTTTTCAATCTTTCACATCGTCAGCATTGTCCTGCTGGATGCTGCTGCGACGGGCAATGAGCAAATCTTTTTGCTCTACGCTCAGTTGCAGTTGTACGTCAGCAAGGCCGAAGATGCCTTCATCGAGCAAGTATGGAACGTTGCGCACGGTCTGGCCAGAGATGGAGAGACGGCGGCCTACTGGTTCATTCAACGGCAAGATTCTACCACGCGTCTCTCCCACGACCGTCACGCACGCGCCATTGCTCGTGGACTGGCATTGACAAGGGAGGAGCGCACCTTGTTTCAACGCTCACAGGCTCACCAGGCGCGCATGGAGGCCCAAGAGACTGCTCGTGCTGCAGCAGAGATTGAGCGTCTCACCTCTCAACTCGAGAGCAGCTCGAGTCAAGCAGCAGTGCCGCCGCCGCCGGTCCAAACGAGCGCCATCTCTGCTGCGTACGAAGAGACTCTGCGGGAAGGTGTGCGCTTGTCGATGAGCCTGTCGCTGGAGGCAAAGGAAGAGCAGCTGGCCATGCTGCTGTTTCAGCCAAAGACCGCCTTGGAGCATGCGACCATGTCCAGGCGGCTGGTGGTGGTAAGGGACGGCTGGCGTCAGCATGCTGACGTGATTCCTGACCAAGTCTTGCGTGGCCCTCTTCTTTTGAGAGAGGCGTACATGGAGACGGTGAGCGCTCTCAACTCTCAGCAAGTGCAGCTCAATCTCCTGCTGCTGAGGTCGATGGGAGCACCACCTACCACCATCACCAGCGTCGAGCGTGTGCCAGGAACTGTCGCGCGGAGGGAGGTCACCTTTGAGAGGGGCGCCAAAGTCATCAACGCTCACCTCGAAGCGCAACCTCGACGTCGCTAGCGCATGGTCGTGTACATATCCCGTTTGTACCACGCAATTGTTCGCTTGCGTGCTCGTGTACATATCCCGTTTGTGCATTTCGATCGCTCGCTCCGATTCCTCTCCAGTGTACATTACGATCCCTTGCTTGCTCTCCTCGCTCTCAATGTGACTCTTGCGCTTGCGTGATTTGCAGGCATGCGAATACCGCGATTGTGATGCGAGCACCGTGATCATGATGATGCATGATGTTGATGCCAGCACCGTGACGACGATGCGAAGACCGCGATTGTGATGCGAGCACCGTGATCATGATGATGCATGATGTTGATGCCAGCACCGTGACGACGATGCGAAGACCGCGATGACAATTCGAGCACGGCAACCGCGACGACGCGAGCACGGCAACCATGATGACGATGCGAGCACCGGGTCGTTTACAAAAATCCAACCTTTCAGCACGATGTTGCTTCAACGAGCAGCGATTGAACACGGCTGCGCGATAACAAACACAAGGGCGCGCGCGCTGTGCTTGCTGCTTCAATCACGAATCACGAATCACAAATCAAAGAGCATGCTGCGCAAGCGCCCACATGTGAGACAGACCGACATGACAAGTGCAAAAAATTTTCATCGCTACTCACGACCGCCACCACCGCCATCACCACGCACGACCGCCACCACCGCCATCACCACGCACGACCAACGCCACCGCCACCACCACCGCCGCTTTCCTCGCATCCCCATTCCAACGCCACCGTCACCACCGCCGCCGCTTTCAAAATGTCCCTACTCGACAAGTACCAACACCTCTCTGCGGAGCAATGCCGCACGAAGCTGAAAAGAGGAGAATTTGCGGAAGAAGAGAAGGACATCAAGGCCATGGTGCGTGCTATCACACTGCGTGCAGGATCGCATTCTCACCATTTCCACTTTCCCAGATCCACTCAAAAGATCAAGAGGAGGCTAGCATACCCACAGCCCCAGCTTGCGGCCACTGCCAAGGCGCAGGGATCGAGTGCATGCGGCCGACCCTCCAGACCGCCCTCAGGTATGGAGGTAAAAGCCGCTCCATTCAGAAATGCCTTGGCTGCAAGCGGGCTGGGTCAAAGTGCTACACCACCATCGAGGTGGATAAGAAGAGCGTGCCATACGAGACGGAGTTGGCAGCGAGTGCTTCGCACCGGGTGGGATTGGTCATCAAGTAAGTTCAATGCTGCGCAGCAGGCGCATACATGCACTCATGCAAGTGATCACTCTGCAGCACCAACAATAGCGAGATGTTTTGGGTAAAGCGGGCTCTAAAAATTGCAGAGGAAGACGGTGCAGATGCAGAAGGCCAGGAGGAAGAGGATGACGTGTCGGACAGCGAGCTGCAGAGAATCTCTGCAAGGTCGCCGACATTGAAGCGCTCCTCGATGGCCCTCACTTCCTCCTCGCCCAGCAAAAGGGTGCGCAAGGAGGATCCCACGAGCAAGCTGCTGCAATGTGCCAAGATTGCAAGCCAGCGTGGCAAGAAAGACCTTGTTGATGTCTTTTTGGAGGAAGCAGTGAGGCCGTACAAAGCGTGTCTGAAAAATGGAGGACAGCTGGAGCGCAGAAAGCTGGTGAATGAGGAGCAAGCCTTTCTCACCGAGCTGATGGAGGAGATGGGAGAAGAGAGCCCACTCTTTGAGTCTCTGGCACAGCTGTACGATCATGCACCGTCGGGACCAGAGGTGAGTAGCAGGTGTGACTGACGCCTTTTTGCGCACAACTGATTCGGCCCTCGCATGTACGTCCAGCTCTCCCGCCCACCTCCAAGGAACAGGACTGAAAGCTCACGGCAGGGGTAAGCTAGTAAGTTGCGTGCGCGCGTGCGTGCGTGCGCATACATGCTGACTCGATTTGCTTGTTGCAGGAGCGCGAGGGTGCGAAGAGCTGCAAACATGAATGCCGGGGTCTCTCGGATCAGTCTCTCCTTTGGTCTCGCGGAGCCTCGCCGCCTCGCTCTCGGTCGCCCGCTTCTCCTTCTCGCCGCCTCGCTCGCGGTCGCTCTCGCCTGGTTCTCCATCTCGCCGTCTCGCCCGGTCCTCCTTCTCTCC